ACCTGAGTTCAAATCCCAGTACTGCTAAAAGAAACAAATAAAAGTAAACATGCTCTTGAATGAGCTTTTTAGACCTGTCAATTAGTTGAGATAGTGGAGCAACTTCTTCAGTGTATAATTAATCCCTGACAACAAAAGCTAAATCAATATAACTTCCTTCTTTAAAACCAGTAAAGTAACTAGTTAGCAGAGAGCTAGAAAATTTTATGATTTCCAAGCAAGATAGCCTCCTGTGAAGATGAAATTCCACTGGAAGCTTAGATGTTGATTTAGGGACCTAAAGTCATCTTTTTTCTACTAAAAAACACAAAGTAACACTTTGGAGAATAATGTTTTAAAACAAGACCAACTTCCTACTTAAAATAATGATATACTAACTTCTCATCATGGAAACTAAAGCTTCCTAAAACTTGCTCCTTACAAGTAAACTGAAAAATGGGGAAAGAAGCCAGATACTATGGTACATGCTGCAATCCTAGCTACTGAGAAGGCAAAGGTAGAAGCAGGAAGAAAGTCCAAGGCCAGTCTTGGCAAAGGATCCTATCTCTAAGCAAATACAAACCAAATGGCTGTGAATGTGGCTCGAGTTGTATAGTGCTGAAGTTACAGGTCCTTGGTTCAATGTCCAGTATTGCAAAAATTTTAAAATAAGATTAAGAGAAGAGTGAAGACAAGATGAGAGTGACAGAAAGACAGACAGCCTTGCAAGAAATAAAAATTTTATTTATTTTCTTTTTAAAAGAATGTAAAGTTGACACAGGGAAAAAGAGAACCCTAATGGCTAACCTACTGTGGTTCAATGAACCTGGCTCCACCCCGTCCAACTGAATCAAAATTTCTGTGGGTAGAATGCAGGCATCAGTTATTGGCACAGCTCACTAAGAAATCTCCATTTATGGCCAAGGTTGAAATCTTCTGCTCTACAACTTGGGTGCAGTTCAGTGTTAAGAGAGCTTGTCTATCATTCATACAACCTATGTTTCATTCCTACCAGTGGGAAAGTAAGCCAAGGCACAACTGAGAAAAGGAAAATCCATATACCAACAAGTTTTTTAAACCACTACAAATTCTCATTTAAAATAAAAATATGAAACCAGACACCTATGGCTAACACCTGTAATCCTATACTACAGAGGTTAAGATCTGAGGATTGCAGTTCAAAGCCAGCCAAGGCAGAAAAGTCGGCCAAACTCTTTATGTTCTATTAATCACCTAAATCTGGAAGTGGAACTAGGGCTCAAATGGCAGAAAGCCAGCCTTCAGTGAAAAGGCTAAGGGGCAGCACCTAGACATTGTGTCTAGCTCTGATATCAGCACAAAAATTAAAGCTGGCACTAGTGACTCACACCTATTATCTTAGCTACTCAGGAGGCTGAGATGTGTGGATTACGGTTCAAAGCCAGCTCAGGGAGGAAAGGCCGTGAAACTCATCTCCAATTAACCACCAGAAAACTGAAGTGGAGGTGTGGCTCCAAATGGTAGCCTTGAGCAAAAGAGCTCAAGGACACTACCCAGATTCTGAGTTCGGCCCCACAACTGACAAAAAATAAAATATAAACATAAATATGAAATGCAGAGTACTAGTATTGGAATGTATTTATAATTATCTTTAAATTTAACTTGATTAAGATGTAACAATAAATTCACCAGCTCCTATAGCTGTCCTATGATCTAATCTTCAGGGCCACATTATCACCACTCAATTATTAAGTTTATAGCCAGGCACTATAATCACGCCTGTAATGCTAGCTACTCAGGAGGCTGAGATCTGAGAATCTCAGTTCAAAACTAGCCACAGCAGAAAAGTCTGAGACTGTTCTCTCCAATTAACCTGAAAAAACAGCAAGTGGAGATGTGAGTAGCATTCCCGCCTTGAACACAAAAAGCCAAAGAATACAAGACCATGTGTTCAAGCACAGGTACTACCATAAATTATATACATGCATACATATAATTATAAGAATTGGACCACTTACCATCTTAGACTTGCAAACATAAGCACTACCTAGTCTTCATTCACTCCTCCTGTTTAAAATAAATTTTTCTGGATGCCACATTATACCATGTAACAGTGTCAAGTTGACCCAACCTAAACTATCTTGTTCCTAAAAAACAAATTCAGTCAAATTTTCCATTGCCTAAATTACACATTTTAAGATAAGAAAAAAAAATCCAGCAATCCTAAATTTGTCTCATTATCATATATTTGGAATATTAGGATGCCCACAGAATCACACTGTACGTAGCTCAAGTGAATAAAATCCTTACATATTTGTCAACTGTTTTAAATTCTTATATCAAATGACTGAGTCTTCATCAATTTTGGGCAAAATGCTTAAAACTTGATAATGTAAGAAAACTGTCTTAGATGCCATGTTATACTGGTCTAATTCCTTTAACTTCAACTTCGAACAGAAAATAATAAAATGTAACTGTTCTATTGAGGCTTTGGGGAGGGGGACAATTTGGGAGGGGGGAAAGGGCATTACTGAGGTTTAAACTCAAGGCCTTAACAAAGTTGCTAGGCTGATGCTCTACATGAGTCATGCACATACACCTTTCATGTAGAGTCTTAAACTATTTACCAAGGTGGCCTTGGACTGCAATCCTCCTAACCTTTGCCTCCCAAGTAGATATTACAGGCACTCACTATAATACACAGTTGAGATATGGGCCTGAATCTCCTTAACTTTTTATTAATCAAGATCTTCCCAACCTCTAGAGTAACTGAGGTGTCCAAGTGTAAACCACCACCCCAGCCTTTCAGTTAATTTTATATGTGACCAAGGGTTACTACAGAGTCACTACTCCTCATTATTTTAAACAAACAACAATCTAACATAATCTTCTGGGTAAAACAAGATATCCAGTCATGTTCAATGAGTATTGAAATGGCTATTACAAGGTGATTCAAGAACCATTCATTCTAAAATCACTGAATGAAAACTGAAAGAAAAAGACATGAACTAAAGAGGAAAGAAAGAACTGGCAAAAGTATCAGAAAAAAAAATGTTCTCACAAATACAAAAACTTAACAACACATTAAGCATGTATTTTAAATGTAAAGAACCAGGCAGATTCCGTAAGGTTAACTGCCCCACTGGAGGCCAGCAATCCACAGTTCACTTAGAATGATGTCTAATGATGTTACAACACTGGCTTAATGGGGGGGGGGGGCGCCCCCAAAAACAAAAAAACAGCTTCCAAGTGAGAGAGCTGGAGTGTGACTGGGCTGCATGAATTAGTTTAAATGTTTTAATTTAGGGGAAAAGTAAAGGGATCCTGAAAAAGTATTCATACACAAAGAGAGAAACACCTCAACTGAAGTGCAACCTAAATGAAGATTAATTTTCAAAAATAACATCTGCTGCATCCTAATGCAAGCGGAATTGTTTCAAGAGCAAAGCCATCAGAGAAAGTGAATGGTCCTTATAAAACTCACTACAAAGTATCTCCAAGTGACTTATTCAGCACTAATTTTCATTAATTCTGAAAATGACTTGCAATTGTTTCTTTTCTCTGAGTTTAAGATTTGCACTGAAGGTACTTAGCTAATTAGAAATAGGCATTCCTGCCTCAAGAATTTAAAACTTAACATGAAGTATTTTTTAAAGAAAACTCATCGAAAAACCTGAAAATGCTACTTCTACTTCATAAAATGTTATATTTTCTCTAGGAAGACTTTTAATGTCAGTAATTTACATAATTCCTCACTACATTTGGAGCTAAAACTACTAAAATAATTAATTCTGGTCCACCTCTATTTGTTCTGTAACAAACTCATTCAGAAACACAAACTAGGGCAGCATTATCGAGTAGTAATGAGAAACCCTATTGTTAGATGTTGTATCGACCATTTATTTACACTTTGGAAGAGCGGGTGCTAATATCAGAACTTGCCAATATAGAGAAGTCCTTAGAAGGGAAAGTTACGCGTTAGAACTTACCGCATATATTTCAGCAGAAAGATATTTAGTCTTGACACCAGACAGTAAACGTAATTTATGAAATTATCTCTAAAAATTCCCAAACGCTGCGTTCTAATGGTTACTGTTTGCAACTGCGTATTTCTGGATCTCTTAATTAGGGATTCTACCTGGTTTCTGCTAGCAAAAAAAAAAAAGTATCGAATCTATTTCTTACACCACTGGAATAATCAAACCGCTCCTGAGACAGAAAGGATGCAAAACCTGGCCCCAGACTCCAAGCCTGCAAAAAGTCCTAACCCCCTGACTGTCTTGGGATGTTATTGCTAAGGAAGGGGCAATCCCACCTTCAGCGGCGGTCCGTAACCGGGAGCACTTACAACACGGGACGTAACAAAGCCCCAAAACAGGTTTTTAATGTTTTCAAAACAAAAACAAATTCACCACGGCGGTGGAGAGCGAGCGGGAGAACCATCCATCTTCACCGTGCCCTTTTCCCTCCACACCCGGTAACGGGGATCAGTGAACTCAAACACACGCAGGGTCCGGGGGACACCGAGCTGGAGAGACCCGCACAGCGGCCGGGGCACGCGTGCGGAAGCCAACGCCCTCCATTCTCCACCAAACTCTACTCCGACTTCTACCCCGCGGGCCCGGCCCCCACCACAAGGTGAACTACGCCCCCCCCACCCCACCCCGCCCCGCCCCACCCCGAGACCGGCGCTACGGGAAGCGAAGGCTCCGCGCGGGGCCGAGAGGTGGGGGTTCCCGCACGCCGCCATCACCCACAATACCCAAAAAGTAAACAAATCAAAGCGGGAGACCCGGACCGGAAAGATACAACCGGGAAGAGAAAGTGAGGCACAATGAGGACACAAAACCTGGCCGGGGAGGGGGGGGGGGGGGAATAAAAAGGAATGGAGCGATTTCTTCCGAGGAGATGAAAGGCAGCGACACGCCGCGGCCTCCCCCCCCCCCGCCCCGGCCCCCCGCCCCGCGCCCGGCCGGGGCCCCGGCGCACTCCGCAGGAACAACAAAGAGGAGCTGGAGCGGCTGCCGCCGGAGTTGGACGGGATGGACCGCCAAACTGCGAGTGGAGTTGGGGCCGCGAGACCAAGTTGGGAGACCGAGGGGCTCCGCGAACACCGCGGCCCGTCCGGCCTGGCCCGGCCCCGGTCCTGCCCTACCCTGCCCGGCCCGACCGGGCCGGCGGCCACGCTCGCTACCGGGACGCACCCGGACGCGCGCTCCCGTTCGCCGCAGCCGCCCGGGCCGGGGCCGCCGCCGCCGCCGCCGCCGCCGGGAGCCCCCGCCCCGGGGCGGGGCGCGCGGGCCCGGGGGAAGGGGAGGGGACATGGCGCGTTACCTGGGCTCGGGCGCCGCTCTCCTGCCGCGGCTCGTCGCTCCCGGGGAGCCGCCTGGGGCGCCCGCCCGCTCGCTCCTCGGCCCCCGCCCCGGCCGTCCGGGCCGGGCACGGCAGCCCCTCCTCGGCGCCGCGGCTCGCGCGGGCCGGGCCGCCTCGAGCTCCCGGGCGGCCCCGCGACGGGAGGGGTGGGGGAGGGCCTCTCCCGCGGGACGCCCGCTAGCCCTCACCCGCGCTCCCGCCCCCCCCGGACGGCCGCAGGGCCGAGAACGGAGCGGAAAGGACCTCCGGAGCCGAGCCAGTGGCGGCGAACGCGGGCTCCGCCACCCGAGCCGCTCCGTTACCGCAGCGGCGACGACGACCAGGGCCGTGTTGTTGCTGCCAACTTGTCGGGAGGACACTGAGCATGCGCACGCGGGGACCACATCCGGGTAATTTCAGGGTTTGGCTCCTCTCCCCAGCTGCTCTCCTCTCTCCCGGCTGCTCCCGCCTCCCGCCCCGAGACGAGAGGGTCGCTCTGCGCAGGCGCCCGCGGGCAGTGGCCCGGCCCTGCCCTGGCGGAGCGCGCTGCGCTCTCTCCGCGTGGACTGGCTACCCCTGGAGGGCGTCGTCGGAGAAAGTGCCACCCGGTGCTGGCGAGTACAGCCGAGCATCGCGTCCGAGTCCTGCGTGCAGGAAGTGCTGAGGAAGGTCCCTCGGCCCTGCCTCCCGGGCTTTGGCTTCTGTTTTGTTTGGAGGACCTGAGCGGCTGGGGGAATGCGAGACTTTGCAGGGCCCGGGGGTGGTGGTGGTGTGGTCATGGTCTTCTTTGAGAAGCAGTTGGCCCTGGCTGTGCCTGCCTTGTCTTCCCACCAACTGGGAATCACGAACTCGAGAGACGCGCTGGACAGGCAGGGAGTCACGCATGCAGAAGGAGCCTTGCGGGATTCCCGAGTAGCTGCGCTTCTGGCTGGAAGAGACCTGCAAGGAATCCAGTTGGAAACAACCTCTCAAGCCTGTCACCGTCCCATTCACTAGGTCGCCTAGAACTGAGGAAGTCGCTGTGCAAAACAGTGGATGGGGTGGAGGAAAGGCACAATCGCTGCGCTGACTATATACTTTGTGTAGTTGATAATTTAGTAGGATGCATATGCATTTATCATTTAAAAGTGTCAGCCAGGCACGCTGGTGACTCTCACTTGTAATCCTAGCTACTCAGGAGGCTGAAATCTAAGGATCCAGATTCGAAGCCAGCTGGGGCAGGAAAAGTCCATGAGAATCTCATCTCCAATTAACCACTAAAGTAAAATACTTTGAGTAGGAAAAGCTAAGGAACACTGCCCTGAGTTCAATCCCCAGTACCTGCACGTACACACACACACACAACCCACAGGTAGATATGTGACAGTGGTAAAAACACATTTTTAGCATGTGCAAGGCCATAGGGTTAATTTTGCAGCAAATTTTTTTAAATTTAAGTTCCAATAAACACGTGCTAATTATATGAAGCATCGCCCTTCCATGTGTAGGCAGCCAGGAACTACTTCTGTCAGGAGCCCCCCAAGATCAGTTATTCCGCAGCTCTAAGTCATGTCTTAGGGAGTGTCTTCCTAGACATCATAGCCTGGTCTCTTCCCTCTTCTACCAGGAAGCAGTACAGTGCTAGCCTTGAGCAAAGAAAACTCAGGGACAAACACTAGGCCCTAAGTTCAAGTCCCATGACCAACTTTAAAAAAAAAAAAGTGGCCTTTGAGTTCAAACCCCAAACCCTAGTACCACCAGGAACAGAGAGAGAGACAGAGAGAGACTGTGTGTGTGTGTGTGTGTGTGTGTGTAACCAGCATCTTGATGTCTTGATGAGATTCTTCCGTTTGCTAGCTGTGATCAAGCAAATTGCCATCAGAATGAACCTATGGAGGGGACCACATGTCAAAGAATTGAGGTACTCCAGGTGGCAAGCTGCCATCTGCAAATTAGTGCTCCCTGATGCCTGTGATTTAAGACTTTTTAAAAGTAGTTTTAAGGGAATCCATTTCCAGATCTTCCATGTACTGTGAACTATTTTCTAATTCTCACTCCTGAGTGAGGTGACTCAAGATATAAAAAGTTCCAGGACAATCAATAGAGTGAGTTCAAAAGCATATCTGTGCCGAGAAAGGAAATGACTATAATGAATGTATATGAAATTATTTTGCAAGTCAGGTGGTTTGTAATTGCCTGAGATCAACAAAATTGAAGGAAAGATCTGTCATCTGATAGGTCATGAAAAATGATTTAGTAATAGATCAATGTGATTCTTCAGTAATACACCTCAGGAGGTTTTTGAATTGGTGTGTGTGCGTGCACACGTGCACACGCACACACACACGCGCGCGCGCACACACACACATATGGGCATACATGTTTTGTTTTTTGGTCAGTTGTGGGGCTTGAACTCAGAGCCTAGGCACTGTCCCTGGGCTCATTTGCTCAAGGCTAGCGCTCTCCTGCTTTGAACCACAGCACTCTTCCTCAGGAGTTTTTTTTTTTTAATTCGGAATCTTCCATCTCATCTGTACTAATGTTGTGTGACAATATAACAAATTTAGAAGGTAAAACAGCACGCATTTATTACCTTGTAGATTTTATGGAGTCTAGAAACTGCTGAGCAAAATCCTCTACAAAGTAAGGCTCCACTAGGAAAACTGAGCTGCTTCTAGGTTCCCATGGTCATTGGCAGCATTTAGTAACTTGAGGACAGCAGACTAGTGGCTGTCACCTGAGGTACCCCTCATTCTTTGACATGTAGTCCTCTCATAGGTTCATTCTGATGGCAGTTTGCTTGATCATGGCTAGCAAAGGGAAGAATCTCATCAAAACATCAAGATGCTGGTTACTCTGTGTGTGTGTGTGTGTGCGTGCACGCGCCTACAGTTTGTGGTTTGAACTCGAAGTCCACTTTTTTTTAAGTTGGTCATGGGGCTTGAACTCAGGGTCTGAGTATTGTTCCTGAGTTTTTCTTTGTTCAAGGTTTGCGCTCTACTACTTTGAGCCAAGCCCCACTTTTGGTTTTTCTGATGGTTAAGTGAAGAAGAGTCTCACAGACTTTGTTACCCAGGCTGGCTTCGAGTCACCATCCTCCTATCTCAGCCAATGCCACTTTTTTAAAGAGTCAGTGTTTCTTTCTCAACCTGGCAATAAACACCTGAGTTCAAAGTGACCCTTCTGCTTCAGCTTCCTGGGTAGCTAGGACTACAGGCATGCACCACCACTTCTAGCTTGGTTATCATATTGTGTACCACAATCACATGCATAAACTCACATGCGGAGACTCATGCAGGGTCTATCTAACTTCACTCAAAAGGACAGGACTAAAAAGGATAGGAGAATCCTATGAGTCTAGATGATAGTCTGTCACGCCATTTGCTTATACAAATGACATTCTGTACAGGTTCAGCCTCTTCTCCCAATTTCCCTTCAGATTCCCTTCAACTTTTTCTTAAAACCTGACATTTCCCCCCTTGGATGCTGTTTTACCTTCCACCTGTAAAGTAGGAGGAGCAAGAGTGTTTTCAACCCTAAGCCTCCTAGACTGTGCCTGGTGGTGTGGAAGGGAGTCCTTCTTGCTCTACAACAATGCTTGTAGACTAGTGACCCCTCTCAACCAGCCGCTTCAAATCTTACTACCCAGTAATCTCTCCATCACCCTCATTCAGCCTCCTTTCCATCCCACTTAGTGATGTGCCACTTAGTTGGTCTGCCCAGTGCCCAGCCTGGCCTCTTAGTTCCTTGACTCCTCCCACCCCAAAGATCTTCTCTCTCCTGGCTCAGCCACTCCCTCTCCTGTTTCTAATCATTGTAAATTCTAGCTTCTTCATAATCAGGATTTCAAATATCTCACATTCCCATCACCACCTCTTTGCAGTTGCTTACAGAGTGGGACTTGGGACATCAGCCCCTATGCTGTCATCTGGAGGCCCCCTCAGGTCCTTGTCGCCTTAGATTAGTTTACAATATCGCAACTTGCTTCTTTCCAGGTGTTTCTGAATTAAACTAAAAGATCAACCCTCGCCTGGGTCCCCATCCATCTCTACCCAGCTTAAACCCCAGCTAGTCATTATAATCACTCCTGCATACCCTCAAATCCCTTGTGTCCCCCCTTCACAGACTACTTTCCCTTCAATTCCATCACCATGACTCTTGGCTTGACTCTTAGTTCTGCCCAGCAATCTGCCTCCTCTATTCTTTGTAGATTTGTTAGCTTTTCTTGCCCCTAACCTATACTTGCTCCCCTTTGCTCTCATTATCACTGAACAATCTTGCTTCCTAGTTCATTGAGGAAACTAAAACAATGAGACAAAAACTTCCACAAAATCCCACTATCACGGCTACCCATACCCACCCACCAGCCTTTTCTCTATCATGCATCTGCAGTTCCCTGCTCCTAGCTAGCACAAGGCCCTGTACTAAGGCAATGCTCCCCTGTCCTAATCAACATCATCACCTTTTCTCCAGCAATTGTCCACTCACACTTTCCCACTTCTGTGTCTATGCGTGTGTGTGTGTGTGTGTGTGTGTGTGTGTGTGTGTGTGTGCATTTGTGCTGATACTGGGGCTTGAATTCAGGCCCTCTTTTGGTTGGTGTGTTCACTCAAGACTGGCACTCTGCCACTTGAGCCACATCTTCACTTGCAGCTATTTGGTGACTAATAGGAGATGAGAATCACATGGAGGGGCTGGGAAGGCGGCTCAGTGGTACAGTGCTTGCCTCGCATGCATGAGGCCCTGATTCCTCAGCACCACATAAGCAGAAAGAGCCAGAAGTGGTGGTGTGGCTCAAGTGGTAGAACACTATCCTTGAGCTGAAAAGCTGAGGGATCGTGCCCAGGCCCAGAGTTCAGGCCCCATGACTGACAAAAAAAAAAAAAAGGATCACATGGAGGCCAGGTGCTGGTGGCTCAGGCCGTATAACCCTAGCGACTAGGAAGCAGATCTGAGGATCACAGTTCTAGGTCAACCCATGCAGGAAAGTCCATGAGACTCTTATCTCCAATAAACTACTCAGAAAAAAGCCAGAAGTTGATGGAATGGATGGGAAGGGGAAACAAAGGAAGAGGCTACAATGCTTGATAAGAAATGTACTCATTATCTTGTCCATGTAATTGTAACTCCTCTGTACAGTATTTTCACACTAAAAAAAATAAAAATAAAAGCCAGAAGTTGAGCTGTGGCTCAAGTGGTAGAGCACTGGCCTTGATTACAAAGAGGCTCAGGGACAGTACCCAGACCCTGAGTTCAAGCCCCAGGACTTGTGTTGTCTTCAAACTGTGATTCTCAAGTTTCTCCCTCCTGAGTAGCTAGGATGACAGGCATGAGCCACCAGCATCTGGCTCACTCTGTTTCTATATTAGCATCATTTCCCATCTCTGCTGATTTATTCCTATAA